CCCTTATAGCCCCTAGCCCTCCTTCAGCGTTGAGGTGGTTCTGATTTCCAACCCGTCCGTCACGGTGACGTTCGTCCTGGCAGGCATGCCTGGGCGCTTTGTAGGGTTTGGGGGCTTCTTAGGGCTTAGCCAGTTTAAGCTTTAGGGCTCTTGAGCGATTTTACCTGCAGAGGCCCTCAAAGAAAACAACCTGTATACAGGTAATTATTGATTACCAGGGAGGAGTGTAAGGCACAACCCCAAACCCTACACCCTAAACCCTAGATTTTAGACCCTAAACCCTCACACGCTTTCGGCTGAAAGCTTCGGTGCGCAGTCTGAGTACACTGTGTAGGGCTTCAGGGTGTTCTGGTATGGTTTGGGCTTAGAGACCCATCAGGCCTGGTTTTTAGGTCGGGATTTTCAAATCAACCAAGTTAGTGTTTCGGGTTTCGGGTTTAGGGTGGCGCGGGCCACTCTTTTTGGGGATTAGCAACCACCATGCCTTCCCAGGGTTGAGTTTTTTTGTGCTAACTCTCAAGTTGTACAAAAAATCATTTCCCCAAATAGGCATACTAGGGGCTCAGGGCAGAGGACCCTAAATCCGGAACCTTAAGCCCCATACACAAAAAATCACATGCACGACTCTCACCTTCGAGAGCACTTAAAACACAATCCCTCTTTTGAAGTTTGCCTACTGGGGCCCCTTCGCTCTCCCGGATGGTGTCGGGTACCTCACGTCGGCCCAACGAGACGCCGTCCGCGCTGCCACAGGGGTCTCGGCCACGGTTCGGCGGCGGGAGCAGTGGGGCGGTCAGGCAGGGCTGACCTTGTCAGGCCCACCGAGTCAGCTTGAAGGACCACCGTTTTCGGAAAAAAACAACCCTCTGCGTGAGTGACTGCGGGAGTGCGGGTAGGGGCGTGTCCTGACTTGCACGCTAAGCAGTCCTAAGCTATCCTAAGCCCTAAACCCCGAAACCCCTAAACCCCGAAACCCCTAAACCCCAAACCGATAAATCCTTCAAACCCTGCACCCCCAAACCCTAAACCCGAAACCCCTAGGTTTCAGGGAGTCTCGAAGTGTAAGGGTAGTTTCGTGGGGCCCTGAATATGGTTGTATATATGAGGTATATACGGGGTCCCTTGTTAAGGGCCCCTACTAAGGGACCATGTAAGTACCCTGAGAGCCCTAAACCCTGAACCCCACACCCTCAACCCTAAACCCTAAACCCTAAACCCTAAACCCTAAACCCTAAACCCTAAACCCTAAACCCTAAACTGCCCAGAGCGCCGCTGTCCATTTACATGGGCGCTCGAGGCTTCGACCGAGGTCCCCGACCGAGCGTCTCCACAGAACGGTGAGGGAGGGTAAAGCCTCCCAGTAGATGGGCGCACTGTTGAGGTGTTTTGGTTTTTTCAGGGGGCACCCCCCGTGGCTGGGGCCCCGGGCTGGCAGATTCCAGGGCCACCACTAGGCGAGGCTCCTGCCAAAAAGTGGGGTTAAGGGTCATGGATTTCCTGAATCCAGGACCCCTGCCTGGGACCTTTCGGGGACTGTCCTGAGTCCCCAGGCCGGTCCGGTCCAGGAGGCTTCCCCGCACCCTGCACAGTCTGGACCGATCCACACGAGCCTGCCAGTGAGGGCGTGACTTTGCAAGCAGGGGCCGGCCGAGGCCCCTGCTTCCCCCTAGCGTTTTGCTGCCCTAAAACTGCATGATTTGCCCAGACCCGTAATGAAAATGTGGGTTTTTTTAGTAACCCCTCCATTTTACTCCGCGAAAGCTCCAAGAAGCCTACGAGCCACTGACAGGCTCCACAAAGCTCGGGAGGCCCCACCCTGCTCTTTCTCTGGAGCAAGAAAGCCCCTCTTGAGGGGGGTTTGGGGGGTGAACCCCTAAACCCTAAATGAGAATAGTTTGGGTGGTTGGGGTGGGACTACATGCTAACGCAAGCGAGCGGCCCGGGTGCTTTTAGCACCAGCGAGCTTCCCTTTTATACACCTAAACCCTAAACCCTAATCCCTAACCCCTAAACCCTAAACCCTAAACCCTAAACCCTAAACCCTAAACCCTAAACCCTAAACCTAAGAGAAAGTCCTCAACCTCAACGGAGCAGTTTGCCAGGCTTTCTGGCACTCTTGCTCACCGCCATCTGCATCTACCTGGGCACCTCTCCAACGAAACTCTTGGGGTTTAGGGTCTAGGGTTTAGGGTTTAGGGTCATGTACCCTGTTCTATTCTCATTAAGGTACATGAACCCATAAACCCTAAGCCCTAAACCCCAGACCCTCATCTAAACCCAAAAATGATACCCTAAACCCTAAACCCTAAACCCTAAACCCTAAACCCTAAACCCTAAACCCTTTTAGGGTTCCTTGGGTTCCCAAGGTAGTAAACGCATCTCTTCGCAGCGTTAAGAGCACTAATTGCCCGGAGATGGTGTCCGTAGAAACATTTAGGGCTTAGGGCTTGGGGTTTAGGGTTGAGGGTTTAGGGTTTAGGGTGGAGGAATGAGGGTTGAGGGCTTAGGGCTTAGGGTTTAGGGTTGAGGGTTTAGGGTTGAGGGCTTGGGGTTGAGGGTTGAGGGTTTAGGGTTTAGGGCTTACAAGGGTGCAACAAGAAACTGCGGGGGTTGTTCCAAATGGGGGTCTCCCCCCCTCCTTCTCGGTATAGCCGCCACACTCGAATCCCAATGCCGCCTGACTTAACGGTTCGTAGTAGAGAGTTTCAGAGACTAGAGAGTTTCAGAGAATTAAGTTGCAGTCTTTCTCTCATCTAGACCCTACTCACCCGCAGCTTAAGTTCCCGAGGTCCCGTTGCAGGACATGCAAACAAACTCCTAGTAGTAGAGTCGGTAACCTTTAACCTTTTTGGGGTAGTATATCACATATATCACCCTTCTAGTCCCAAAGGTTAACCTTTAATTTCCCCAGATTACAGGACAATTAAGAACTAAGGCCCTAAACCCTAAACCCTTAACCCTTTAATTCCCCCAGGTTACTGGACCACTAAGAACTCAGGCATGCACGTCATGGCGCAATTCCTCCGAAACGTGTCGCGCGAGATCGACGAAGAAGAGGAAACCCGCGTGCTGCATGAGTTTAGGGTTTAGGGTTTAGGGTTTAGGGTTGCCTTCTTCCAGAGCTTAGGACGTAGGATCTACCCAAAGAACCTGGCAATTCGCGTTATACGTACAGTTTAGGAACCCTGAACCATAAACCCTAAACCCTATAACTTCCTATAACCCTATAAGCCTATAAGCCTATCACCTTAAACCCATTTGACTCTATAGCCCTAAACCCTGAAGCTTAAGGAGGCAGTACCTTCAGCTTTTAGTCAGGCACCTTGTACACGAAACCCTTGGGCTCCCGAAAGTAGTTTTGGGTTTAGGGTTTAGGGTTTAGGGTTTAGGGTTTGGGGTTTGGGGGTTGGGGGTTGGGGTTTAGGATACTGTTTTGTTGCTCTATGGATAAATGCATCTTTGGGCTTCGAGCTTGAACCCCAAACCCAAACCCTGATTCCTAATAACAATCAAACCCTAAACCCTAAACTAAACCCTAAACCATTTAGTCTTTCCGCAACCTTGCGTTCGATTGTCGGCGTCATGGTCGCCTCCTCCATTCCGAATGTGATCTACAGCCGGATGCAGGATTCATGTGTCATGAACTTTGTCCTGGGCAAACGCATCCCGTTGAAGGAGCAGGGGTTTAGGGTTTAGGGTTTAGGGTTTAGGGTTTAGGGTTTAGAGGTATCCTCAGGGCGGAGCGCCAGGGCGGAGCGCCAGAGGAAGAGGGAAGAGGGCACAGCGCCGGCAAATCGGGAGCAGAACAGAGGCCATCTTCCGGGTCTGCATGGATAACCCTAAACGCTAAACCCTAAACCCTAAACCCTAAACACTAAACCCTAAACCCTAAACCCTAAACCCTAAACCCTAAACCCTAGACCCTAAACCTAAACCCTATATTATAAGCCCTAAACACCCTGAGCGCCGAACCTAATCTAAGGCTAAGGGAAGTTGCATGGTTGCTTAGTATGATCTCTTACCTTCTTTCAGGGGTTCTGAAGTATGGGCCCTTGTTCGAAGGGCAGATAAGGGGTATATTAGGGTTTCCTCGATTGGGGGCCCAACTTAAGGGACCGTGCAACTACCCTGACACCTGAGCCTTCAACCCCAAACTCTATAGTTTAGGGTTTAGGGTTTAGGGTTTAGGGTTTAGGGTTTAAGGTTTAGGGTTTAGGTTATAAACCCTAGAGACGCCCTAGGTCCCGAACCCGCTGAACAAGCCTAAGCCATGAACCCTAAGCCCGAAACCCTAGAGTCCACGGGTACATCCCGAGCTTTTAAACCCCGAAGCCCTAAACAACTCTAAACAACCCCAAATCCTAAATCCTAAACCCTAAACCCTAAACCCCAAACCCTAAACCCTAAACCACACCCGAAACTGCCCTCTGAGCCCCCTTGACACCTTGTGGAGCATGCAGAGCTCTAATAGGGTTTAGGATTAGGGTGTAGGGCTTCGGGTTTAGGCTTTGGGGTTTAGGGGTTTTTGTACCTCCCCCCAAAGAAAAAGCAAAAAGCACTACTCAAAAAAGATCTCCCCCTCCCCGGTGTTCAGGGATTGGGATTCATAGGGTTTACAGGGTGCATTGGGTTTGTAGGGTTTGTAGGGTTTGTAGGGTTTGTAGGGTCTGGCTGTTGGAGGAGGGTGGGGTACACACACGACGGTTCTAGTTTTGGGGCCCGTGGCTATGTACATGGCTGGGTAGTTCTCTAAGTTAGGTTCCCTTTTGGGGTCCCCCTTTTCGTTGTACGGCACCTTCTGAAAGGATCCTCAGAATTACAGAACTACCCATATATATATATATATATATATACATATATATATATATATATTCGTAGAGAAAATGATACCCTCGAAAAAAGACCCTGGCTTTGAGTGTTCCACCTGTCCTCTGGGCGGACCTTCTTGAACCCGAAACCCGAAACCCTCAATTCCCCGTGCGCAGGCCGATCCGCACGAAATGCATCTGAACAACCTGAATGAGCACCTGGATGGCATTGAAGATGGCATTTGGTTGAGTTCATCAGGCCCTCAGGCCCCTAAGCCCTGGAACCGTAAGACCTGGGCAGTTCTTATGGCTTAACTTCATCTCTAAGGGTAATGTCATGGTCCCTCAATGTGGTCTCTGACCTTCCTTGCAGGGTTCTGAAGTATGGCCCCTTGGGTTGTCGAGGGGTATATAAAAGGTAACACAACGTGAGTCCCCAAGTAAGGGCACACACGAAAGGGCCCTTCTACTCTACCCTAAGAATCTCTCACTCCATGCTGGATTCAGGGTCGGGTTGCCCTGCGCCCTATAAACACAAAACCCTTGCATCCATGCGTAGTCGACACACAGGTGTCGCAAGCATCGCGCTGGAGGAGCCTTGCTGTCAGGTCGCCATCAAGTGCATGGATCGCCTCGAATGGATGAATTTTGGACCAGATGAACCCTAACCCGGTTTGGGGGCGGTTCATTTTACCTTAATTGGAATTAGAGTAGTATCGGGTACATATGACCCCTAAACCCTAAACTCCCCTACAGTATAAAGGATTCGGTGATGTTTGTTCTTCAACGAGTGATGGCCTTTCTGACTGGAGCGACAGCTCGAGGCCAGCCGCGGGCCGTTCTGCATCGCATCCTGTCTATGGACGAGGACCTCTCAAACTCGACGATGATGGAGATCTCGACGCGCTTGCTGAGAACGCAGGAAGGGTGGCAGGCATCTTTATGTCTTCCACAATTTCGCCAGGTGATGGGACGATTCACGAACAACCAGATTGGGCATTCTCAACCTGGACGAAAGCCCCACCAACCGAAAAGGAGCAGCTTTTGTTTCTGCCTCCTGAACCGCGTTACCTAAACCCTAAACCCTAAACCCTAGACCCTAAACCCTAAACCCTAAACCCTACACCCTAAACCCTAAACCCTAAACCCTAAACCCCAGTTTTCGGGTTTATGCAATCCTGGCGAGGTGGAGATAGACATACGCCCCCAAAATCCTAAGCCTCTAAGCCATTCAAACCCTACACCTCTTGAAATCCTGAACACCCTGAACCCCCTAGACCTCGGCCCCCCTGAGCTTGGTTCACAGAATCCGATTATAAAAACAACGTTCATAAGATTTTTGCAGTGTTTTGGCTTTAGGGCCTATTCGATGCCCTCACTGCCCCTCCCTACCCAAGAGTAAATTGCCCTCAATCAACTTTTCTTTGGGCTTTACTCAGCTCCGTGTTAGTTAGGTCTCGCAGCCCGATAACCCTAACCCCGCCTGGATCCGACTGTCTGAAGCGTATCTGTTGCCCAGACGGACGAGATCCTTCCGCAGCAGCGGCCACGCGGGGACCGCAGGCGAACCCTACATCCTAAACAAGCCCTAAAGGCCTAAACCCTTAAGCCTACGGCTCAGGGTTTTTCGGGCTTTTCCCAAAACCCTTTAGCCCTACATCCTAAGTAAGCCCTAAAAGCATACTGAGGTGGGTTCGGGATAGCCTGGTTACAGGCTGGCGAAAGGGTCGTAAGGGTTATAAGGTATTTTATGTGTCACAGGGTTCTAGGGGTCATTTTGGGATGTAAGGAGTATACGGGTTTATAGGGGCTGTAGGGCTTCAAACCCTAAACCCTAAACCCTGTTGTTGGGTTCAAGGTGCAGCTCTTCTTTCGTGGTACCAACAGCGAACGCTTCGAGGGTGGACCCCTCCAAACCTGATCTGCATCCTAAGCCTTAAGCCCTGATTCATGAACCCTACATACACCCTACAGAAGCCCTACATAACCCTGACATCCTGTTGTACCCCCCAAGCCCTGAAATCCACAACCTTGAGCCTGAAAGGCCACGACTTTGCGCAGAAGCGCAGCACATCACGACGTTGCGAGCCGACTCCCCCGAACACATGTCAGCTGCCAAGACCTCCCGACATTATTATCCAGAAGCCTGGACAAGGGTTTTTAGGGTCTAGGGTTTGGACCTAGGGATGTGTCTATAGAGTTTATTTAGGGTTAAGGGTTTAGTGTTTAGGGTTTAGGGCTTGTGGCGTAGGATTTGCAGAAGGCTTAATAGTTTTAGAAGCACCTCAAACTCAGCCCTGAACCGTACTGAAACAGGCTGAGGCATTGAACCCTAAACCTTAAACCTAAACCCTACTTAACCCTATGTTGCGCCCTGGCTCAAGGTCCCCTAGTCCATTGTAGGGCCGCACCATGAGTAATTATATGAGTTTAGGGGTACAACCTCAGGGGTACCTGTGAAATTTAGGCTTATGGGGCTTGGTTGCCCAGTGGTACCCTTTACCCTTTCTTTTTGGTTCTGGGTTCCCTTGTAAAATAGCCAAACCAAAAGGGGTGCCCTTATTACAATATGGTTACTGGGCTAGTTACCAAGTACCTCAATAGGAATTCCCCCCAACCCTAAACCCTAAACCCTCAACCCTGAACCCTAAACCCTCTAAACCTGGGGGTGTCTAGGGCTAGAGCGCCAGTGCAGGCAAGCTCAGGCACACGGTGTCAAAAGTGACGCAGCGCGTGGAAAGCTGCTCAGGATCGGAGCGGGAGGGGTTTGGATTTGGGTTTGGGGTTTAGGGTTTAGGGTTTCGGCGTTAAGGTTTACCTGGGATTTTAAGGGTTCTACCTACGAATTAAATACGGGGGTACCTGCTACTAATCTGTAGGCAAAGAAGGTCCCAGGTGCCCTTACTGTAAACCTTAAACCCTCTGAGCCCTAAACCCTAAACCCCAAACCCTAAACCCCAAACCCCAAACCCTAAACCCTAAACTGTATAAACCCTCGAAGCCCCAGACCCGATGGGCTGTAGAGGTGAAAGAATGCCCGGGCAGTGTGCATTCGGAGGCCCCATGACGGCACTTACTGCAGCCCCAATGATAACCTACATGATAACCTACTAATTGCTTAAGAAACCCGAAAAAATATCGAAAAAAAAATAGTAGTGGCCTAATTCAGGGACTGAAGGGACTTGCAATTGGGTTATAAAGGTTATAGCTACTAGTAAAGTTGGGGGGCTATTCTTAAGCCCGGACCGTAACTTACTGAATAGGCCCTATAGGCTAAAACTGGGAGGAGTTCGGGGGGGTGGGGGGGGGGGGCAGCCCGGACGACTTCTATGCCAACGCGGCGGACGACGAGGAGACCGAGAACCAGGAAGGCGAGAAGACTGCCTCCGACCTCGGTGCCTCCGGCGACGACGAGGTCTATGAAGCCTACGCCTCGTACAAGGAGTCCGGGAAGAAGCTGAAGGATATCCAAAAGAGCCGAGCACAGGATTCCACTGGCCAGGAATTAGGTAGTCATGGTCAGGGTGTGGATGTACCAGACCTGACGTGACTGGTCCTCATAGTCCTCATACAGAGTGCAAGATCGCTGCAGCAAGTTCGAACATTTTTTCGGCAATACGCTCGAATGTGGCGATGGAAATGCTTCGCCGTACGATATGAATATTCAAAACAAGCTGAGACAGTTACATATCTTTAAAGAATTCAATTCAGGAACCAAAACCTCTTTGAGGTTTCGGTAGTGCAGCTCTCGCCCAGTCGCTCTGTGCTCCGGAGAGCATGCAAACGTCGTGCTTATGCCCCGTTCGCATCGGAGCAGATGCCAAAGCGCGCTCTTTCCTGGGTCCCGTCGTCGCTCCGTGTCGCGACAACGTGCCAGGCATCCGTTCGAGGGTGATACTGGGACCCTATTTACCTACAGTTTTAAGGTTATACCTAGTAAATAGGGGTACCCCTAAACCCTAAACCCTAAACCCCTGAACCCTAAGCCCTCAACCCGATAAACCCTAAACCCTAAACCCTACGTCCCAGGATGTGCATGTCAAACACGCTCTCGCCTTGGTCTTGTGAGTATACTCGTCGTGCCCTGCAATGCTCTGGTCACGGGAGCGATCGTGCAGTTTTTTTGTTTTAGTTTCAGTTTTTGTTTTTAACTCCAGCGCTATGTGATTATTTCACTATTTGTCTTATTTTTTCAATTGCTATTTTAGCATATGACTTCTTATTTTAATCATTCTGTCACTCTTTTTATACTACTATTAATCATACTACTAAACCTGCAGAGTGGTTTGGGGGGTCTCATCTTGGGGGTGCGCTCCGAACACTCTACAGGTTGCTCGTGCTACGCTTTCGACATGGTCTTACCCTGTTCGGGGTTTAGGGTTTAGAGTTTTAGGGTTTAGGGTTTAGGGTTTTTTGGTTGTTTAGGGTTTAGGGTTAGTGCCCTGGTGTATATAGGTTTTGGGCTTGTCCCGAAACACTAAACCCTAAACCCTAAATCCTAAACCCTAAAACCTTAAACCCTAAACCCTAAACCCTAAACCCTAAACTCTGAGCTGGGGATCCCTCCCAGGGCGGATGAAGCAGTTCATGGTGCACTACGCGCTGCCACTCTTCCAGGAGACGGAGGAGGAGCGCTATCTGCTGGAGCCACCTGGCATGAAGAGGGGTTTAGGGTTTATGGAGCCTCTTTTCCAACAGCTAGTTGGCCCAGGGCATGTTGCTTATGCGTCGGCTGTACTTGAGCAAAAGGTCGCCCCCCCCCCCCCCCCTCCCCCCGCCCAACACGTCAGTTAAGCCAGAAGTTAAGCCTTAAACTCCAACACTGAACCCCAACCCTACACATCTACGGACTCGTCAAACCGTAAACACTCTGAACCCGAAGCAGAAAAGCACATCAAGCCAGAAGAATGGGAAGATTGGCGAGTTTCGATGTTAAAAAGTGGGCGACAGTGCACTCGAGTGGCGCATTGCTCGTGCCGAGCGTCAAGGAGTCCAAAGAAGTGCTCGTGTTCAGGTTTAGGGATTAGGGTTTCGGGTTTAGGGTTTACGGTTTAGGGTTTGAACTGGAACGGTCCAGCAACCTCAGCAAGGCCCTGGAGTCTTCGGGTGGTGCGCCGCCACAAGCCAGTCGAGCGGCCTGGGGTGCAGCCTGTCTCGACCCAGAACCGGAGCGTGGTGGCAACTGGGCAAGCCTGCTCGCGTCAAATCTGGATCACCAGGTGCGCCACTGCCCAGCGTTCCCCCTGCCGAGGAGGCGGCAGCGGCGCCCACTCGGGGGGTCCGGCGAGAACCGGGAGAAGGCCTTTATGCTAAGAGGTCGAATGGACGACCGTTTGACTTCAGTAAAACTTGAACACCTTCAAACCCCCTCCCCGACAATCGCCCCTGAAGCCGAAACCTTGTAGTTCTGCAGGACTTGCTCGGAGTTGAGAGGTGTACAGCAAACCCCAGATTCAAAGGCTACAGGTCCTTTCCCTAAACTCCCTCAACTCCCTCAACTCCCTCAACGTCCCCAACTCCCTAAACCCGAAACACCCCAAGCCCCCTGAACTCCCCAATTACCCTAAACCCTGAACCCTAAACCCTAAACCCTAAACTCCTAAACCCTAAACCCTAAACCCTAAAGTCACTATAGCAATTTGACTCAGAGTCTGGGTTCCCTTGTACGCCCCCCCCTTTGAAACCACACAGGGCAGCCGGTTTATCCCTAAACCCTAGCCCTAAACCCTAAACCCTAATCTCCTTCGAACCCTGAACCCAAAAAGCGCTAAAGGACCGCAAAGATCCCGCCAAACCTCCCCACAAGCCCGAAACCCTATCCCTATACACCCTAAACCCTCCACCCTATATACACCCTAAGCCCTAAACCCTAAGCCCTAAGCCCTAAACCCTAGACCCTAAACCCTAAACCCTAAACATTAAACTAGCCCTAAACCCTACCTAGGTGGCGGCTGAGCGGCGACGCGGTGGAGATGCACTCCTCGCGGGGCCGCCGGGGCTCGGGAAAGAAGGCCGAGTTTGGGTAGGGAGTTTGGGGTTGGAGTTTGGGGTTTAGGGTTTAGGGTGTGACGGCAACACCTCTTCGACTAAGGAGTGTGCCGTACATCCTGATGTGAAGCTGATTCATCAGCATCCATGTTATACTTTATGAGATCTTCTCTGGTACATCCCCCCCCCCCTACAAAAATAACCAAAACACTAAACCCTAAACCCTTTTTTCCTAAACCCCAAACCCTAAACCCTAAACCCCAAACCTTCTCAACCCCTAAGACCCCTCAGCAGGTCTCCTGCTGGAAACGATCCCGAGCTCGGCTCCTCCGCTTCGGCGGCTTCTTCCAGCGCCGCATCGTGCGACAGGACCGGGGAGTGCGGTTTAGGGTCTGGGGTTTAGGGTTTCGGGTTTCGGGTTTGGGGTTTGCAAGGTTTCGGGGTTGAGGGTTTAGGGTCTTTAGTTTTTATTTTTTTGGTGGGGGGGGGGGGGGGTTGAATTGGGGCTTCAAGGTTTTCAGGGCTTTGGTTTTTCAGGATTTTGGGTTTCTTGAGGTTATGGGTGTTTGGGGGTTTTGGGGGTCTGAGGGGTTTAGGGTGTAGGGTTTAGGGTTTTAGGGTTTAGGGTTCAGGGTTGTAGGGTTCAAGGTCTTGGGGTCTTGGGGTTTTGGGGATTTAAGGTTTTATAGGGGTTTGCGGGTTCGGGGGTTTGGGGGTCCTCTCGTGGGTCAGGGCTTAGTTTAGTGTTTAGGGTTTCAGGTTCTTCGTGCTGTGGGATCCTTTCGTAACCCGCTTTGCTGTAGCTTGGGGGTCATGGCACGGGTTTAGGCTGTTAAGGGGTTTTCAGGGTGATACGCCTCTCTCTTTCTTTTTTTTTTCTCTCTCTCTCTCTCTCTCTCTCTCTGTTTGTGGGAAAACTTGGGCCCTAACTCGCTGTCTAGGATCTACAATGCAGCCCGCATTTCCTTGGATACTAGCACTAAATACCAACCCTACGTTACACCCTGAACCCGTATTTTGTATTGGAGTTCCTATCTATTATAAGGGAATCTTGAAATGCCCGTTATTTTCGGACAATAAACCCTAAACCCTAAACCCCAAACCCCAAACCCTAAACCCTAAGCCCTAAACCCTAAACCCCCCTCATCCTTCCGCCCCAGGCTTTGGACGAGTTTGCGATGCTTTGGCTCGAAATCTTCGACCAGAGCATGCTGCCCAAGAGCTCCATCGAGGTGACTTTCGGTAGGGTGTCGTGTTTAGGGTTTAGGGCTTAGGGTTTTGGGTTTAGGGTTGAGGGTTGAGGGTTTAGGGTTTTCGGTTTAGGCTTTAGGGTTTAGGGTTTAGGGTTTAGGGCATGGGGTTTAGGGTCCCCTAGAAACCCTCAGCCCAAAACCCTCAAGCCCTAAATTCCCCGAGTCCACTAAACGCCCATACCCTGAGAACCGAAACCCTGAATCCCCCTCAGTCCCCCGAAATCCCCGTAAATCCCTCTCAAAGCCTAAACCCTAAACCTTAAACCCTAAACCCTAAACCCTAGCCCTAAACCCTAAATCCCCCTAAGTCCCCCTATATGTCCCCCCTGAGTGGGTGCAGGGGTTGAGAGGGCTTCGAAGTTGCAGGGCCTGGCCTTGATGTTATCCCGGGATCCTGTGGGATCCTCTGGGATGCCCCGGTGTAGGGGTTTAGGGTTTAGGGTGTAGGGTTTAGGGTTTAGGGTTTAGGGATACCCCGGGTTTAGGGTTTAGGGTTTATCTGGGACCCTCTTTACCTACAGTTAAGGAGGTTATACTAATCAAGGGGTGGTTGCTTCTAAACTGTAGGTAGGGTTTTGGGTTTATAGTGGCTATTTAGGGGAATTAGATTAAGTCAGGGCCCCTTTCTTAGGTAGTATGAGCATGTGCATACACGTTAGTCTTTTTTGTGAGGGGAGGATAACTTCCCTGTTGCAGCATCCCAACTCGAAGAAAACCAAACATCTGAAGCACCCTAAACCCTAAACCCTATAAACGTAAACCCTAAACCCTAAACCCTAAACCCTAAAACCCAAACCCTAAACCCTCAACCCTAAGCCCTAAACCCTAAACCCTAAACCTCCCTAAGCCGACTTGTGAACCCCCGAGCCGGTAGGTCCTGTGCGCTTTGACTGCGGCCAACGTGCGCGTGCCTTTCAAGATGCAGAAGAAGGACCCAGACTTTGTGGTGCTTTACTGTACCTTTAGATCTTTAGCCTTTTTGGGCAATTTTATAGCTACTACCCTCCTAAGTGCAGCCAAGCAGATCTTCCAAAAACCCCTTATATTATTAAGGAATATACCTTAATGCATAATAGGGATCCTTTGTATCAATTAGGGTATCTTCCTTAATCAAGGAATACACCTTCATTCATAGTACGGATCCTTAGTATCAATCAGGGTATATTCCTTAATGAAGGAATACATACACCTTCATTCATAGTACGGATCCTTTGTATCAATTAGGGTATATTCCATAATTAAGGAATACACCTTCATTCATAATACGGATCCTTAGTATCAATTAGGGTATATTGCTTAATTAAGGAATACACCTTAATGCATAATAAGGATCCTTAGTATCAATTACGGTGTATTTCAAGATGGAAGAGGGACTTGGCTTGGATTCTTGAGGGGTTTAGGGTTTCAGGGTTTTAGGGTTTCGGGTTTTAGGGTTTAGGGTTTAGAGCTTTAGGGTTCAGGGCGTGGGGTGTCGGGTTTAGGGCGTTGGATTTTGGGGACTTGCACTTGGAATTTAGGGTTTTAGGACTTCGGCGTTATGTTTCGGTGCGAAACCTCCCAGTTTCAGAAGCACCCTAGGAGCCCTAAACCCTAAACCCGACCACCATCAAAAGGCCTCAGGGGTTCGGATGTCTGGTTCAGGGTGAGGGTTTAGGGTTTAGGGTTTAGGGTTTAGGGTTTAGGGTTTAGGGTTTAGGGTTTAGGGTTTAGGGTTTAGGGTTTAGGGTTTAGGGTTTAGAGTCTCCATCTCCAGGAAGGGTGGGGACAGCTATATACCAGGAAATGTCTTCGCGCGCAGTACTACCCTAAACCCGAAACCCGAAGCCCTGAACACTCAACCGTAACGGATGAGATTAGCTACGGATTCGCTTTGTAGGGGTCTTGTGCCTAGAGGCCTTTGTCGCTGGTTCCGAGGCCCGCAAGTAAGCGGGTGATCTGGAGGTTTTGAGGGTTTAGGGTTCAGGTTTTTAGGAGTTAAGGGATGTAGGGGTTTGGGGCTTTTAGGGCTTCTCTTTGCAAAGAGTGCCCGAAGCCTTCTGTGGTCAATTCTCGGCATTCTGGCCAACGTTTACGGAAAGGGGCGCATTATACAAGGGAGCCCCTAAAAACCTGAATTCCCTGGTTTCGAAACCATGAAAAACTCATCCCCTAAACTCAAGACCCTGCTCCTTCTGGCTCAGAGCACTCAGGTTCATTTAGCAGAGTCCCCACATCTCCGCACGTTCGCATGCTGCACATCCGCATGATCTCGGGCGAAGAGTTGACAGCCATCCCCGTGGAGGATGTGAGCAGCGTGAGGGACGTGAACCTTGGGGATGACATGAACCCTAAAACTGGGGTCATATACCCTATACTACTAAAATTCCTATTAGGGTATATGAACCATAAACCCTTTTAGGGTTCATTTCGTCCCCAAGGAAGAGGCGCTTGCAAGAGCTGCATGGCCAGCCTCCGCGCTTCAGGCAGAGGCTCATCCTCCAGGGCTCCAACCAGAATTTGGACGATGCCGAGGAGCTCGACTCTGCAACTTAGAAGTAGAGTAGGTAACCTTTAACCTTACTTTGGGGCATTAGAATCCAACTTAGTAGTAGAGTAGGTAACCTTTAGTTAACTTTAGTTCCCCCAGGTTACTGGACAACTAAGGCAAGGAACTTGGAACTGGTGGTGCTGTCTTTCTCCTCCCCTTCCCCGGCACAAGTGGATGAGCTCATGGCTGCCGCCAGAAATGGCTCAGTGAAAGAGGCTGAGGTTTAGGGGTTTAGGGTTTAGGGTTTAGGGTTTAGGGTTTAGGGTTTAGGGTGCTGCTGCTTCGAATAGGAGAGTGCATTTTCCTGCTCACTTGGGCCCGCAGAGAATTATGGGATCTTCTTCAATATGGGAGTGGAGGTTTCCTGCGAACGTGTAGAGCAAGTAGAGGATCTCTCCTTGAAAAGGACACTCTTGCTAAACGGACAGCGCTGCATTAGTAGAAAGAAGATCCTGCAGTAAGAAGCCCCCATTCCCCAACAAACTATCGCGCTTCCAGGTCGTGTCACTGCTGCAGCTGCCCCTAGACCCAAATGTGGCCACAAGAGCTGGCGAGAGGCCGCTAGGCAAAGCATCTCGCGGTGGCCACGTCGAAGTCGTGCGCTTGCTGATGGAGGCCGGCGCTGACAAGGACTTGTTGGACCACGGTGGCCGCACAGCCCTGATGGTTGCAGCTCGATACGGCCATGTTGAAGTTGCACGTTTAGTGGTGGAGGCCGGTGCCGACAAGAACAAGGCCCACAGCAATGGCCGGACAGCCCTGATGTTCGCAGCTCAACGAGGCCACCTTGAGGTCGTGCGGCTGCTATTGGAGGCTGACGCCGGTAAAGACGCGACTGGCAACCAGGGCGAGACTGCCCTGATGGTCGCAGCGGCCGGGTGCCACGTTGACGTTGTGCGTTTGCTATTGGAGGTTGGCGCCGACAAGGATGCGGCCGACAATGGTGGTCGCACAGCCCTGATGATCGCAGCTCGACATGGGCATGCTTTGGTCGTACGTCTGCTGGTGGAGGCCGGCGCTGGACCCACCAAAACTGCCCTGATGGTCGCAGCTGATCACGGCCACCCTGAAGTCGTGCGTTTGCTCCTGGAGACCGGCCTCAACAAGGACCTGGCCACCAACAGCGGCTACACGGCCATGATGATCTCGGCTCGCCTGGGCCATGCTGAAGTCGTGCGCTTGCTGCTGCAAGCTGGCGCCGACAAGGACAGGGCCGACAAGAACGGCCGCACAGCTCTGTTGATGGCAGCTCACGCGGGCCACGTTGAAGTCGTGCGGTTGCTGGTGGAGGCTGGCGCAGACCAGGGCAAGGCCGACAACGAAGGCTGCACAGCCCTACTGATCGCAGTTCAAGAAGGCCGCATTGAGGTTGTGCGGATGCTGGCGGAGGCTGCCATCTGCAAGGACGCGGCCTTGATTCTCGCAGCTTGCCTGGGCCATTTTGAAGTGGCGCGCGTGCTTGTGGAGGCCGGTGCCGATGCCGATAGGGACTTGGCCAACAACCATGGCTACACAGCCTTGATGCGCGCAGCTCGCCAGGGACATGTTGACGTCGTGCGTTTGCTTGTGGAGGCTGGAATCGACAAGGACAAGGTCGACAATGAAGGCCGCACAGCCCTGCTCATGGCATCTGCCGGAAATTGTGTTGAAGTCGTCCGTTTATTGCTGCAGGCCGGCGCTGACAAGGACCTGGCCACCAACGTTGGCCACACAGCCTTGATGTTCTCAGCTCGCCAAGGCCATGTTGAAATCGTGCATATGCTGGTGGAGTCTGGCGCCGACAGGAACTTGACCGACAACGATGGCTACACGGCCCTGATGCTGGCAGCTGATCAGGGCCGCGTTGAAGTCGTGCGCTTGCTGGTGGAGGCGGGCGCTGATGAGGGCTTGGGTAGCACGGACAAGGACCAGGCCGACTATGAAGGCCGCACAGCCCTGATGATCGCAGCTCAAGAGGGCCACCTTGAGGTCGTGCGGCTGCTGCTGTTGGCTGGCGCAGGCAAGGACGTGGCCAACAAGCATGGCCACACAGCCCTGATGATGGCAGCTATCGGGCGCCGCGTGGACGTTGTGCGCTTATTGCTTGTGGCCGGCGCGGACAGGAACGTTGCCGACCGCGATGGCCGCACGGCTCTGATGCTCTCAGCCCAGGATGGCCATGTGCAAGTCGTGCGTTGGCTGGTCCAGGCCGGTGCCGCCAAGGACTTGGCCGATGCCAATGGCCACACAGCCCTGATGCTTGCAGCTGATCAGGGCCGTCTTGAGGTTGTGCGCTTGCTGGTAGACGCCGGCACCGACAAGGGTGTGACCGATTATGAAGGCCACACAGCCCTGGTGATGGCAGATTCCAAGGGCTTTGTTGAAATCGCGCATTTGTTGTCACAGCCGGTCACGAAGCGCAGACGCGTCTCCGGAGCTTAGTGACGCCTGAGGTGCAGCAAATTTAGAATCGCTAGTCGCTAGCCCCCGTTCAACCTCCAGGCCCAGGCCCCGGAACCCATAGAAGAATCCAAGAACGAGCCACATCCTTGAAGTCAGGGAGAGAGCGCAAGCACCCAAACCCCTGCAGAACCTTAAAAACACAACCAGAGCCTGCGAAGATCGTAGCAGCGCCGACCCATGCAAAGTCTTTACGTCTCCCGCCTTAAAGTGTCCTGACATCACCACGATTTCAGACGCCCGTGCGTTGGTTTGTGGGTTTGTATAGGATTATAGTCCTCAGGGACTCAAAGATCCGGGATACCTGGATTTTGGGGCTTTTAGAGTTTAGGCCGCCCCTGCGATGCACGTTGCCTCTGGCCTGGAGATTTGCTAGTTGTTTTTGGTGTGGGAGGCTAATGCCGCCACGCCAGCGGAATGTTGCGCACGCTCGGGCATTGGGAATGGGCATAGGCCTACATAGAACATGCAGAATGCAGAGCCATTAAGGACACTGGAGACAATGCAGCTTTATCTTTCATTTATTAGCAGTGCAAGGAATTGAGCCAGACCTGCGCGCAAAAGTTTCTGACACCCTGCTAAGCAGTTTTAGTCAGCGTCCAAGCACGGCTGTGGCTGGGGAAGATAAAGAAGCTGGAGACATGTCTCATAATGTTGCACTCGCTGTAGTATCTAGGATCCCCCCGCGCCCCGCAAACAATTTCGGGGCTTTTGCTCACCCTCTATAAGGCGAACGGGTCAGCTTTTTTGCTAGAGAAGGCCACGAACTTCGCATAATTGCGGGCAATCATTTTCAGTAGGTGTATCCCGAATGATTTTTCCTGAGCTTCGCTTCATTCCGGGTAACAACACTCAACTGGGAACCCCTAAACCCTGAACCTCTAGCCGTGACTCTAGCCCTTCCCCCCCCCCCGAAACCCCTTAACCCTTAGCCCTAAACCCTAAACCCTAAACCCCTAGCTCTGAACCCCTTTGTTGTAGAGAACTGATCAAGTATCGGTCTCTTTGCCTCGGCCATGCAGGACATTCCCCAGCGGTGGGAGGAAGAGGCCGGAGCGAATTCGGGTGTGGGGGTTTCGGGTTTAGGGGTTTCGGGTTGAGGGGATTAGGGTAAGTTTAGGGTCTAATTCGGGGCCTGAGGGTCTAGGGTTTAGGGTTTAGGGTTTTCGGGGTTTGGAGGTTGAGGTCAAGGGAGTGCCGAGTGTTCAGGTTTGGGTTCAGGGCTGGGGTTAAGGTTTAGGGTTTAGGGTTTAGAGTTTAGGGTTTAGGGTTTAGGGTTTAGGGTTTAGGGTTTGGGGTTTGGGGTTTGGGGTTTGGGGTTTGGGGTTTAGGGCTTCGGGTTCAAGATTTTGAGGTCCGAAGACGAGGATGTGGGCTTAGGGAGTGGTGGAGTGTTTGGTTGCCTAATCCTAACCCCCCTCTATAACCCCCCCCCCCCCCAGAACCCAAAACCCGAAAACCCGAAACCCCAAGCAGAAAACCCGCAAACCCCATGTGGGGTTTCAGATTCTTGGGGTTTAGGGTCATAAGGCGAAGCCTCGACTCGGAAAACACCTGAGAAAACAAAGGCCTCACGTTTAGGGGTTTAGTTTTTTGTTTTTGGTTTTCTTAAGGGCGTTTAAGGCTTTCAAGGGCATTTTCGAAGGGATGTTCAAGGGCGTTCAGGGATTTCAGGGTTTTTCGCAACTCCTGAGAAGACACCTCAGGTCTAGGGTTTAAGGTTTTAAGGGTTTTCTTAAGGGGCATTCTCTGGGATTTTTAACTACGTTTTCAGGGTTTTCAAGGTTTTTTGAGTGTTTTAGGGTTTGGGAGTTCTGAGGTCCGGCGATTGCTCGAGGATGGCGCCGAGGTGACTCACAGCTGCGTGGCCGCAGAGCCCTAGGAGGGTTTAGGGTTTAGGGTTTAGGGTTTAGGGTTTATACCTTCGTCGGGCATCTAGTAGCAGAGGGTATATGACCCTCCTTTTAGGGTTCATGTGGTCCCCAGGGTTGGGGGTCTCCGACATTAGGGGTGTAGGGTTTAGGTATATTCGGGTGAGCCTATGTGTTATTTGAAGAAATGCCCATTTCTTGATGCCTTCCCGGTCAATGTTTGCTGCCCTTCCCCCAAACCAGAGTTCCAAATCGAATTCCAAACCCCCAAACCCCCGAGATCCCACATGGTCATTTCGATGCATTCTTGCCCCCCTTCTTGATGTCACTGTCATACTACGCAGGGACACTACCGCAGAGAAACGACTCAGCACCCTAAGACCTAAAATCTTGAAGCCTCAACCCTGAACCCCAACCTTCAACTCTACACCCGAAACCTGAACCCTTAACTGAAGATGCCTTTAAGAACATCACTCCTGACAACCACTTTCACACGGAGTTCTTGAAATACAAGAATGACATTGAGAACAACCTCGGTGAAGCATTGGCCCTCCGAATTGGTGAGATGACGCTGGATGAGTTGAAGAAGTTGGAGAGCGCCTACTACAATAGCAATGCCCCTCGTAATGATGTGGAGAAGTGGATGGGCGATGTATCGCCTACATTGTCGCCTTTAAGTGGTGTTCTCAAAGATGCGGAGTATGTGAAGAAAGCGAAGGATTTGTTGCTCTCCGTTGCTTACCGCTCAAAGTTTCGGATGAACTCACAGTGCGACCACAAAGGCTTGGAGGACTATAATAGGGGGTGCGATAATCCCTATTAAGGACTGATGGTATAAGGGGGAAAATCCCAACACTAAACCCTAAAACCCTCAAGCCTCACCCCGAAACCCAAACAGGTTTCTCTCCGGATGCCCTTATGAGCGCCACGCAGCGCTTGGGCTTCTTGGCAGGATTCAGAACCTCTACGCCCTAAGCCCGACAAGCAGCCATGAAGCCTGAAGGCCGTCAACAGACCGTACACCTCTAAACCCTAAACCCTACATCCTAAACCCTAAACCCTAAACCCCAAGTCCAAAATCAACCTGCCCCGAGCACGCCATGAGGATCGCTACCTGCAGACGCAGCCGTGGGACTGGTGCGCGAGCCTGCAATCAGAGGGTTTGTAAGAATTTGTTTTGGGTTAGGGTTTAGGGTTTAGGGTTTAGGGTGTCGGTCAGAACACACTCCAAAAACCCGAGTTAAGCTATATGAGCCATAAACCTTTTGGGCCTCATTTGGTCCCCAAGGTTTGGGTAGTTCTCGACATGGTGGCCCTTTTTGCAGGTTCGCATTCTGATATTAGGTACCTCGCCCTCGGAATCCAGTTTGGGGAAGGTGCTAGGTACGGCTATGAGTCCACTCACAAGCCTTGAGAACCCGGCAATGCAGGAACGTCTGCAAGAGCTTAGGGTTGACGGAGTAGCACTAGGACCCAGCGTAGGCCCTTCTTCGCTTTTTTTTCGGGGTTTAGGTTCCCTTGTACGCCAGGGCACCCTTTTAATTCCTATGTTACTCTTGGGCCCAGTGCATGTGCAGGGTGATTCTTCCCCAAACCCAACACCCTCAACCCGAAAACCCGAAACGTTAGGGTTTAGGGTCCATGCGTTGAGGAGGGCCTCCAAGGATCCAGGCACCTTTTGTAGCGGGTGTTTGGATAGTTTGGGCGGGGAAAAGACAGGACAGACGTGGGAAGCCAGAAAGGACGAAGAACCGAAGTTGAGTCTGATACAGCTTAAAAACCCAAACCCCAAGCCAAATCAACCCTAGTAACCCTAAACCCGTTACTCTAACCCTGTTTATTGTTTAGGGTTTAGGGTTTAGGGTTTAGGGTTTAGGGTTTAGGGATTAGGGCCCTGTAAGCCCTAAACCCGGACCCCCACCACCCACCCTCCCAGCCCAAGACACGAGCCCATTCCCACACGTCAGGTGGCTGTCGGGTCTACTCCTTTGTGGTGCTTTACTGTGTCTTTAGATCCTTAGCTTTTATTGGGTTTCTTCGTAAGGCAGCTAAAAAAATAAGTTATAGCTACCTTACTAAGTGCAGCCAAGCTTTTGGGCTTCACGGTTTAGGATTTGGTTAAAAACCCCGAAGCTTAAAGTACCTCAGCACCCTCAATCCTTGTCAAAATCCGGGATCGGGGGGGGGGGGGGGGGGGGGGGGGTTGTGCGGAATCTAGGGAAAACCCACAACCCTCAACCCTCAACCCTAAACCCAAAACCCTAAACCCAGAAACTTTGAGGGCTGTCGGGCTGCCGAGGTGGACGCCGTTTGCCAGGTTCTGCGAGAGGTCGAGAGAAAGGCTGGCGGCTTCGGGTTTTAGGGTTTAGGGCTTAGGGCTTTAGGGTTTAGGGCTTTCGGGTTTAGGGTTCAGGGTTTAGGGTTTAGGGTTTATTAGGGTTTAGGCAAATCGGCCCGAAACGCTCAAAAACCAACAAAGCCCCGAAAACCCTCCTCTATACAACCCTAAGCCCTCTAAATTCCGAAGCCTTAGATGTTGAAGTTTTGAAAAAACAAACCCTACACCCTCTAAACCCCGAGCCCTCGAAATCCTAGAGCCCCGAGAGCCCCTAGAGTCCCTGGAGTCCCAGAACCCCCGAGCCCCAAGCACCGAGTCAGGGGCTAAGGTTCCTGTGGGGACTGCATCGAAGGCTACCCTAAACCCTAAACCCTAAACCCTGAACCCTAAATGGTTCGGGCTTAGACGGGATTCGGGCTTGGAGTATACCTGAGAGAAGCCAACTTAGAGCATGTTGAAGTCTGCTTCACTAACCCAATTATAGGGTTTAGCCCCTCCCCCCCCTTCCCCGTTCCCTCCCCGAGCCCTTGAGGAAATTATCCCAGATGGGTTTACAGTCTCCGGGGTTTTGGGGCTCTCTGCTGGTTAGGGCCAAGGAGGCTTCTATAGGGTTTAGGGTTTAGGGTTTAGGTTTTAGGTTTTAGGGTGGCCTTATGTGGCTAGGGCTACTTAGGTGTTGCGGGGTAGTAGAGGCCCGCAACCCTAAGCACCAATGAGCCCTGAGCAGCCCTCACAAGACCTAATAAATTAAACCCAATAACCCCTTATACACCATACATACCTAGATGTTACATTCTCTGTAAGAGTAGATCCCCCCCCAAACAAAAAACGGATAGATGCAAGGCGCCCCTGGAAGTCGAGAAGGCCATGGGGTGACTCTTTAAGGATTCAGGGCCTCTAATCGCGTTTGAGACATACCCTTGAGTTTCGGGTTTAGGTTTAGGGGTTAGGGATATAAGGCATAGCTAGTGCTCCAAGTCTAAAAGAGCACCTGTATTGGGGTCTCAAGTATGCATGTAATACCTACTTTGGGTTCTTTGGAGCCTCTGGGTTAAGGCTTCAGGATTTTGGCTTTAGGGCTTCTCAGCATGTAGGAGTAGGAGCTGGGTTTCAGGGTTTGGGGCTAAGGCTTTAAGTTTGGGATTTAGAGTTCATGAGAATTCTACGATTGAGAACGTTGTGGGATGGAGGATTTATGCTTGAGTGTTGGGAAACTCCCGCGGAGGAAAACCTTGAAAGCCCTAAATCCCTACACTGTACACCTTAGCCCGCATAGCCCACCAAACCCCTGTAGGTCATATACGTCCTGTAAGCCGTTTATAACCCTAAACTTTCCAAACTTAAACCCACAACCTCATACATCGCAAAACCCCGAACCCTAAAGCCAAAAAAGCGTGCCAGTTTGGCTGTCTTCAGGTGCGTCATGTCAGGCATGGCCTTCGTGGGTGTGTTCTTCTACTTGAGAACCTTCACGTTCTCTGCTCTCATGAACCGTGTCACTGGACTCGTGCTTGTGTTCTCTGTTTTCTTCAGTGGCTTCACAGCTGGTGCTTCTGCTGACCGGTCTTCAGTTGGCATGCCACTTGCCTGGCTGGTGTTGTGGGACATGCTTGTTGCTGTGAACATCGATCTTGTTGCCATCACTGGCTACTTGAATCCTCCCCCAAAAACCGTAAAGCCTTAATTCAACCCCAAAAGAATTGCCCTAACCTAGGACCCAGAGTAGGGCCTCAAACCTTTTTTATGGTTTAGGTTCCCTTAGAAGCCCCTTTTAAGCTCAGAAGGGTACCCTTTTTACTAAAATCCCCGAAGACCCTAAAAGCCCTAAAGCCCTACAAGCCCTCAGGCCCTATAAGCCCTGAACGCTATGAGCCCTAGACCCTCAAACCCTGTAAACCCTAAACCCTGAAACCCCATAAACCCTGTAAACCCTAAGCCCTAACACCCTATGAACCCTAAACCCTAAACCCGGGTGGTCTAGTGCACGCTCAAATCCCCGGAATGTGCTCCTTTTTAGGGTGTTTTTTTTGAGTTGATTCAAGGACCCAATAGCCCTAAACCCTAAACCCTGAACCCTTATCCCGAAACCCGAAACTCTGAGCCCTAAACCCTAAACCCTAAACCCTAAACCCCAAACCCTCCACAACAGCCAGCGGGCCAGGACGTGAGCCGTGCGACCTTTGAGTCGGCGTTCGGGAGCCCCGACGCCCCCGAGGCATGTTGGGGATCCGGGGCTCCTGAAGTTTTAGGGTTTAGGGTTTAGGGTTTAGGGTTAGGGTTTAGGGTTTAGGGTTTAGGGTTTAGGGTTTAGGGTTAGGGTTTAGGGTAATTAGGGTAGTTAGGGTAATTAGGGTACTTAGGGTAACTAGGGTAATTAGGGTAATTAGGGTAATTAGGGTAATTAGGGTAATTAGGGTAATTAGGGTAATTAGGGTAAATTAGGGTAAATTAGGGTAATTAGGGTAATTAGGGTAATTAGGGTAATCAGGAATTACGGCATTTAGGGTAATTAGGGTAATTAGGGTAATCAGGGTAATTAGGGTAATTAGGGAAATTAGGGCAATTAGGGTTTAGGATCTGGGATATTTAGGGTTTAGGGTTTAGGGTTTCGGATTCACGATTCAGGGTTTTGGGGTTGAGGGTTGCAGGCTCCTTTCTATTGAAAACCTCCCCCCTTAATTTGCTGAAGTGCATTTTCCCATTACCTCACACTCCCAGCCCCACCCTTGCAGAATCTTCCCAAAACCGAATTCGGCTAAAAATAGAGATGTTCGGCTCGGAGGCGTTTTTTGAAGGGGGGGAGGGGGGGGCTTCGAATATTGCGGGGAACGACTTCTTGACAGGTTATGGCCGGTGGCTCGCAATCTACGTCAGCCGTCTCTGCCAAGGCTTCCATGACTGAAGTTTAGGGTTTAGGGTTTAGGGTTTCGGGTTTAGGGTTTGGTGTGAGGGCTACAAGGTTCAGGGGGCTTCCGCCTCACTGATTTTTGGTAGAGTGTAGGGCTTTTGGCTTCAGGTTCCCTCAGCCAAAGCCGTAAAAGCAGACATTCCCATGTGTGGTTTTTGTTATCGTTTTTTTTTTGGGGGTGGGGGAGGGGGTGTTATGACTTATGACCCATGTAAGACGCTTGCAGATTTTAGGCTGTAGAGTTGTGTTGTGTCTTTTGGGGGGTTGCGTGAACCTGAAGCTTCCGCGTCTTCCGGATTTAGGGTTTAGGGTTTATAGGGTCTAGGGCTTAGGGTTTAGGATTTAGGGTTTATTTGGGGTTTAGGGTTTAATGATAGGGTCTAGGGTTTAGGGTTTAGGATTTAGGGTCTATTTGGGGTTTGGGGTTTAGGGTTTAGGGTTTAGCACCCTTTTAGGCTCTGCTTGGTAGAGACCGGCCGGGCATGCCATGTAACGCAGGTCCAAAGCCCCAAAGCCCTGCCTTAATCCCCCAAACAAGGGCTTAGGGCTTAGGGCTTAGGGTTTAGGGTTTAGGGTTTAGGGTTTAGGGTTTAGGGTCCCCTATAACCCTTCTAAACCCTAAACCCCTAACCCTAAACCCTAAATCCCTAAACCCCTAAGCCTCCCACCGCACCCTGCTTCGCCCAGGACCTCCACGCTGCGGACGGCGACAGCGACGTGGCGATGGACGTGGAGGCGCTTGGTCTCTTCACTTCGTCTGGCTGAGGTCCTCAACCCTCAACCCTCAACCCTCAACCCTCAACCCTAAACCCTCAACCCTAAACCCTAAACCCTAAACCCTAAGCCCTAGGCCCTAAACCTAAACCGGTAACCCCCAAAGTGCCCTTTAGAAAGCAAGAAAAGTAGTTACCCCCCGACGGTGCGCTCTAGGCTTTAGGCTTGTATGAAGGGCGGGTACTTGTGAGGTGCAAGTGGAGGATTGGGGTTTAAGGTTTAGGGTTTCGGGTTTGGGGTTTAGGGTTCTAAACCCCCAAACCCTGTTTTGCGGGGTCCAAGCCCTGTGATGAAGGGTTTAGGGTTCACTTGAGTTGGGCTTAAGACCCTGTTTGAGGGACTCCAGTCATCCTCCAGTGCATCAAATTCCCCCGAAGTGACAGTGCAGAAAGTATAGTATGTAGGGTTTAGTGTTTCGGGTTTAGGGTTTAGGGTTTAGGGTCCCCCGCTCCGCCGGGTTAGTCGCCCAAAGGCTCGGGCTTATGAGTTAGGACCCTTTTCAGAAGGCAACCCTGCCCTAAATGCTACTACGGGGACCATAGTCTGGAATCCCCACATCTGCTAACTCTCAGGCTAAACCCTGAACCCTAAATCCCAAACCCTAAACCCTAAACCCTAAAACCCCCGGCGAAGGTTCCTGAAGCGCTACTTAGGGACCAATGAACCTCAAAAGTTAAAAGGCTTTTACGGTTCATATTCCCTGAACAGGAATTATAGCAGTATAGGGCTTATGACCTCAATTTTAGGGTGCCCGATGTCAGGGCAGCCACTGCAGCGTTTGATTCGGCGTGGACCGCTGACTCCGTGCTTTGGGTTGTTTAGGGTTTTGGGCGCTGCAGGATCGTAGAGTCCAGGGCTGAAGGTTTAGGGTTTAGGGTTTAGGGGTTAGGGTTTACGGTTTAGGGTTTAGGGCTAAGGGTTTAAGCTTTAGGAGTTCCAGGCCCTGGGGTTCAGGGTTCCGCTTCCACCCTGTCCCTGTGGTTGAGGTTGAATAGCGTTTGGGCTTAAGGTTCTGGAGAGCCTGGTGCACTATTCGGTTGTTTTGTGTGTTGGGTGGGGTTGAGGGGTTTAGTTTCGAGTTTAGGGTTTAGGGTTCAGGATGAGTTTGTACACTGCCCCCTTTTTTTGTGTTGGAATGCCTCGCCTAGCTTCCAGTATAGGAACTGCCCTGATAAGAAGTTACCCCCCCCCCCCCCCCCCCCCCCCCCCTCCCTCCGCCGCAGCCTGTAGGTGGCGTTCACTCCAACCCGCCGAAACCTGCAATCTGAGCACCGGGTACCAGCTATTTGTCATTTTTGGTATTGCCTGCCCCCCAAAAAAACCCTATAACGAATTTGCCCTAGACCCTGACAAGCCTAGTCCTTACAAACCCGACGCCCTAGAGTCGCCCTAGACCCTGAAAGAGGCATAACACCCAAGTGTGATTCGGCCCCTTGTTTTTTGGTGTTACAGGGGATGATCATGACCTCGAAGACCCCCAGTGGGTTCAAGGTCTACAGCGGGAGTTTGGGATTTCAGGACTTAGTTTAGGGTTTAAGGAATTCTGGGTTTGAGGAATCTGGGTTGCAGGAATTCTGGGTTTAGGCTGCAAGGTCTGCCATTCATGATGACTCAACCACGAACGAGTACTGGTCCCTTAGTTCCTTGGTTCCGCCGGTTTTTTTTTGTGTCCCCCTTTTTTGGGGATCCGATGAATGTATAGGCAACTTCGCTATGGAACCTTGCCTTGTTCCCTCTCTCTGGTATGTTGCCAACAGTTGCCGCAGCAGGTTGCTGAATGATAAGCCAACCCCTCCCCACCCCACTGAACAGAATCCCCGTTGGTACGATCAGGGGGGGGAGCATTCCTAAAGGATTCCCCGTACAAGCCAACCTAAGCCCCAAAGGCATCCGCACCCCAGCTTGGAGCGATCTGCTCTTCAAACGTTCAAGGGCGACACGGCTACCCTAAATAGAGGGTTTGTGACGAGCCCGAAACCCTAAGCCCTTTAGAAACCCTAAGCCCTGCCACCTCTTGTCCGGACCTCCTCCTGAACAGCGCAGCAGTTTCGGCCCAACTCCTCCCCCCCAGCTGAGCATGATTGATATCGAAGACGTCCGTTTGCAGTGCAAGGACAAGGACAGGTTCCGTGTCCCCCCGAAAAAGCCCTTCACCCGAAGCACGAACCCTAAGCTCCAAGGGTTAGGGTTTAGGAATGTTTAGGATTTAGGGTTTAGCGTGCATTAATATCGCAAGCCCCTGTCCCCCTGATCCCAAAACGCCTAGGGCCCAAACACATGAAGCACGAAGCCCCACACCCCAACACACTCCTCCACCCCGAAGCACATGAAAAAGCCACAAGCACCCTAAACCCTAAACCCTAAACCCTAAAAAAGACGCCGAAGCTCTCAACTCTCAACTGCTTACCGACAGAGAGCAACCTTCAGGGGTCAAGGGGGCCCAACCTCAATGCCTCAAGTTCTGTTTAGGGTTTAGGGTTTAGGGTTTAGGGTTTGGGGTTTGGGGTTTGGGGTTTGGGGTTCGGGGTTTGGGGTTTAAGTTCCCCTCAAGGAGCCCAACCTTGAGAGCCAGGTCACTTGACCCTTCAAGAGGCCCATGCTTAAGAGCACTGGGAGGTTCATGGTACTTACCAACCAATTGTATCTGTACTCATATCCCACTTATACCATGAACCTCCCAGCAGAGTCTTTTGGCCCTTCAACGGGCCCAACCTTACATGACATTTGCATGCACACCTGTGTTGGCCTTGGGGCTGACATTTCGTAATCCCTGCACCTGAAGACCCCTATAACCCTAAACCCTAGAACCCGAAATCCCTAAAACCCCTGAAGCACCCAAACATCCTATGACAATAGACCCCGCAACCCCAAAGTCAAGCCCAGAACCCTAAGCTCCCAAAAGCCCTACCTGGGACCCTATTTACCTACAGTTTAGGAGTAACTACCCCTTAATTTGTAGGTATAACCCACGAAACTGTAGGTAAAGAGAGTCCCAGGTAACCCTAAACCCTAAACCCTAAACCCTAAACCCTAAACCCTAAACCCTAAACCCTAAACCCTAAACCCTAAACCCTAAACCCTAAACCCTAAACCCTAAACCCTTACAAGCCCCACTCGGAAGGACGGGGAGGGGCCGCCCTCCTGCAGCGACGGGCCGGGGGGGCACATTTGGGAGTGTCTGCAGCTTTTGGGTTTAGGGTTTGTAAGGTTGGTTTAGGGTTTAGGGTTTAATTTAGGGATGTTTAGGGTTTAGGGTTTAGGGTTTAGGGTGCAGGGTTTAGGGTTTAGGGTTTAGGGTTTAGGGCGTAGGGTTTAGGGTTGGTTTAAGGGTTTTCGTCAGTACGCTAAGCCCCTTGGGCTTATTCTAGGACTTCGCTGGGTTTAAGTTCAGGATAGACTAGGACGTGGAGTAGGCCCTTTTTTCTCATTTTTTTAGGGTTGGGGTTCCCTCATAGTTCCCTTAAAACCAGACAGGGCACCCATTTTATTCCTAGGTCTAGTAAGTGGAACCCGGGCTCAGGGCTTTTGCTTCGGATCACGCCTCTGAAGCCCCGAAGTTTATGCGCAGGCTGGGTTTTGGAAACCGACAGTCTGAAGCCCTAGACCCCAAACCCCAAGCCCCAAACCTGAAAGACCTTAAACACCTCAAGAACCTTAAAAACCTCAAGACTTAACCGAAAGCCCCTAAGCCCAAACCTTAGTCATGCCTGCAGCGGAACTTGCAGTTCAGGATGTGCACCCCAAACCTTAAGCACCCACACCCTAAACCCTAAACCCTACATGAACCTTAAACCCTAAACCCCAAACCCTGAAAACCCTAAACCCTAAACCCCCAACCCTGAAAACCCTAAACCCCAAACCCCAAACCCTAAACCCCAAACCCCAAACCCTGAAAACCCTAAACCCTAAACCCCAAACCCTGAAAACCCTAAACCCCAAACCCTGAAAACCCTAAACCCTAAACCCTGAAAACCCTAAACCCCAAACCCTGAAAACCCTAAACCCCAAACCCTGAAACCCTAAACCCTAAACCCTAAACCCAAATTCAGGGGCTCCTCTTCCAGCGACTCCGACTCTGGGCATTCCAGCGGCTCTTCCTCCGACTCCTCGTCGCGGCACCTGCCACCCTTGCCGCTCGGTTGGGGTTTAGGGTTTAGGGTTTAGGGTTTAGGGTTTAGGGCTTAGGGTTTAGGGCTTAGGGTTTAGGGTTTAGGGTTTAGGGTTTAGGGTTCAGGGTTCAGGGTTTAGGGTTTAGGGTTTAGGGTTTAGGGTTTAGGGTGGGTTTAGGGTTTGGGGCTTAGGGTTTAATAGGGGGTCCACTCGCAAACTCTAGATCCCTGAACTTGTAATTGGGCTTCACGCCTAAACCCTAGACTACTCCAAGCCGAAAGGGTTGACTTCTTGGGGTTTATCTGGGACCCTATTTGCTTACAGTTTTAAGGGCTATACCTACTAACTAGGAAGGTACTTACTACTTTCTGTAGGTAAATAGGGTCCCGGGTAGGGTTTCAGCATTGAGGATTGGGGGGCTTGAGGCGGTGGAGGATTTTGGTGTTCTGGGGGTTTCGGCGATTTGGGGATCCCGAATTTTCGGAACCCTCCGAACCCCAAAGCCCCAATCCGGATGCACAGCAGGGACCCAACTCCCGAAGTCATGCGAGGCACAGTTTGATAACCTTGAGCCCTCATGGGTTCTCTAAGGGAAGTTTCATGGGCCCTGAGTATGGTCCCTTGCTGTGCCTCCTTTAAAGAGTTCTGATGTCTGGGCCCTGAATTTGTGTGGGGTACATAGGGGGTCTATAAGGGGTCCCCTTTTAAGGGCCCGTACGAATCGACCATGTAACTAGCCTACGAGGTTCTGTTTAGGAAAGGGTTTGCCACCACAGGTTGGGGATATTCCCCCTGATGCTCGCAGCCCTGAATAGGGGCGGTTTAGGGTTTAGGGTTTAGGGTTTAGGGTTTAGGGCTTAGGGCTTAGGGCTTAGGGCTTA